CAGAGCTGGGGGGGAGCCCAGGGCTGGGCTAGCAGGGGCTGCGGGTCGGGAGTGAGGGGCACCGGCAGAGCTGGGTGGGGGCTGAGGCGGTTTCTATGTTTGCAGGGCTGAGTTTCCGGCTTTCTTGGTACTGGTCTGTGGTTTGGGGCAGGCGGCAGCGCTGTGCTGGGATGGGGGGTCCGGTGGACGTGGCTTCGAATCAGCTGAGTCATGGAAACGTCCAGAGCAGGGGGGAGGGGCTGTGTGGTTCTCCCAGGTGCCCTGCGCCTGTGTGTCCTCGGGGGGAGGGGAGCTGTGACTGGGAGTGGGGGGGGCACGGTCGGGATGTTCCCTGTGGGGGGGCAATGTTTCCCCCAGTGGAGGGAATAGGGGAGGGGAGAGGCTGGGGCTGGGTGTATTTCCTGCCTCATGCACCAGCCAGCGTCTCTGGGGCCTGGGGGGGCCAGGGGGCAGGGAGGGAGGTCAGGGCTCATTAAAGGGGGTGATCCCAGGACACCATGTACTCGAAACCAGACATTCGGGGACAAACACCCCCACACCACGGCCCCCTCCCCCACCCCTTCAGCCCCATTCAATTCTCCCCCCCGAGAGCCCCTCGGGGTAAACTCATAAATTGTTCGCCCTCTACAGCACTGATAGAGAGATATGCACAGCTGTTCCCCCCCCCCCCGGCAGGTATTAATACATATTCCGGGTTAATTAATAAGTAAAAGGTGATTTTATTAAATACAGAAAGTAGGATTTAAGTGGTTCCAAGTAGTAACAGACAGAACAAAGTGAATTGCCAAGCAAAATAGAATAAAACACGCAAATCTATGCCTAGTACAGTAATAAAACTGAATACAGATAAAATCTCACCCTCAGAGATGTTTCAATAAGTTCCTTTCACAGACTGGATGCCTTGTTAGTCTGGGCACAGTCGTTTCCCCTGGTACAGCCCCTGTTCCAGTTCAGGTGGTAGCTAGGGGATGGCTCCCCCTTTTCTCTGCTCCACCCACTTATATATCTTTTGCACAAGGCGGGAATCCTTTGTCCCTCTCTGGGTTCCCACCTCCTCCTTCTCAATGGAAAAGCACCAGGTTAAAGATGGATTCCAGTTCCAGTGACATGATCACACGTCACTGTAGAACTTCATTACCCACTTGCCAGCACACAGGTATACAGGAAGACTTATCAGTGAAACAGAGCCATCTACAGACAATGGTCCTGGTTAATGGGAGCCATCAAGATTCCAAATCACCATTAATGGCCCACACTTTGCATAATTACAATAGGCCCTCAGAGTTATATTTTATATTTCTAGTTTCAGATACAAGAGTGATAAATTTATACAAATAAGATGACCACACTCCGTAGAGTATAAGCTTTGTAAGGATACCTTACAAGAGACCTTTTGCATGAAGCATATTCCAGTCACATTATATTCACACTCATTAGCCTATTTTTATAAAATCATATAGAGTGCATCACAAGAGCATAAGCCTCATCCCACTGCTCAGGGGCCCCTGTGGGACAGGGCCCACATCCTGGGGCTCAGGACTCCTGGGTTCTCTCCCGGCTCTGGGAAGGGAGTAGGGTCTGGTGGGTTAGAGCGGGGGAGGTGTGGGAGCCAGGACGCCTGAGTTCTTCCCACTGCTGGGGGGCCCCAAAATCTGCCCCACCCTCCTCCACCTGATGAAAACCCCTTTATATCCAGGAAGCCGTCCGATTTTCAGGGCAGGAGCCACTTCCTGTCCCAAAGCCCCTGACACAACTTTCTGTCTCGTGTGAACCTCAGATCCCAGGCCCCAACCCCAGGGTTAGGCACCGGCAGAGCTAAGGTCCAGGGCTGAGGGTATCTCAGCGGCAGGACGCTCCGAGACTCGCCAGGTGGCAGAGCAGGGCTGGCTCTGGCCATCAGAGCTGCTGGGCTCGATGCCCAGATCCTCTCCAGTGACCTTCCTCCAATCCCCTCCCCCTGCCTGTGGCTAGCGCCTGGGGGTGCGGTTTGCTCTGGCCACTTCTGCTTTTCCAGGAGCCCCGGCGCCCTGTGAGCTGGGGGGGATTCAGGATGCCCATGGCAGCCCCCATTTAATAACAACAGGAGCAAAAGCAGCAGGCGTTTCCGAGGCCCCTTGGCTGGCTAGGCTGGCAGACGCCCAGGGGGCTCTGAGAGTCTCACCCCACGGCTGAGTCCATGTCACGGCGGGTCGGGTGTTTCTAGTGGGGTGAGCTCAGGGGGCGGGAACGGCTTGTCATCCCCATCGGAGTTCAGGGGGCTGTGCTCCCAACCCCCAGGCAACCCAAAACCCCACGAGCAGAGAGGCATTTGCCAGCCCTGCCCAAAAATGGGAGTGGCCCAGCTCACAGCAGTGAATGGAAACTTACGAGCAAAGTGGTGAAAATTAACATTGGAGCCCGGGAGTCCTGGCTCCCAGCCCCCCTGCTCTAGCATGTCAGCCCCGGTGTTCCCATGTGCTAGCTCCTGACCCAGTGGATCTCCCCAAGCCTGCAGGATCAGAGGGATGGAGAAACTCCGGGAGGACGTCACCTGCTCCATCTGCTTGGACATCTTGAACAATCCCGTCTCCATCGAGTGCGGCCACAACTTCTGCCAGGGCTGCCTCTCCATTCACTGGAGCGAGGTCTCAGTCCAGGGGCGCCGCTGCCCGGAGTGCCGAGCTCCCTGCTCCAGGGGCAGGATGATCCCAGACACACGTGTCAAAAGCCTGGTGGAGAAATTCACCGAGCTCTTGCGGGAAGAGCCGGAGCCGGTGAGACCAGATGGGCCAGATAAGGAGCTTTCTCATCTAGGGGATGCTGGGCCCAATCCAGCCCCAGGACAGGGACTGCCTGGCTCAGGGGAGCAGGAATGGTACATGGGGCCTTTCCTCTTTAGGAGGTGCCAGCCCTGATCTAGTCCCAGAATGGGGACTGACTGGCTCAGGGGGTGGGGAATGGGACACACAGACTCAGACTGGTCGGCCAGAAGGGACCATCATGATCATCTAGTCTGACCTCCTGCACATTGCAGGCCACAGAACCTCGCCCACCCACTCCTGTAATAGACCCCGAACCTCTGGCTGAGTTACTGACATCTTCACATCATGGGTTAAAGCGGGGGTGGGCAAACTTTATGGCCCAAGGGCCACATCTGGGTGATGAAATTGCATGCATGGCCAAGAATGTAGGGCTGGGGCAGGGGGTTGGGATGCAACAGGGAGTGTGAGGTGTGGGAGGGGGGGTGGTGTGCAGGAAGGGGCTCAGGGCAAGGGATTGGGGTGCAGGGAGGGGTGCGGAGTGAGGCAGGGGGCTCAGGGCAGGGGGTTAGGGGCTCAGGGCAGGGGGTTGAGGTGCAGGAGGGGTGCGACAAGGGGTTCAGAGCAGGGGGTTGGGGTGCTGGAGGGGTGTGGGGTGTGGCAGCAGGTTGGGGTTCAGGAGGGGTGCGGCAGGGGTCTCAGGGCAGGGAGTTGGGGTGCAGGAGGAATGCAGTGTGCGATGGGGGCTCAGGGCAGGAGGTTGGGTGTGGGGTGCAGGGGTGGTTCAGGGTGCGGGCTCCGGCCCAGCGCTGCTTACCTTGAGCAGCTCTTGGGTGGCAGCAGCACGCAGGGACATGGTGCCGGCTGCTTCTGGGAGCAGCGCGGGGCCAGGGCAGGCAGGGAGCTTGCCTTAGCCCCACAGCGCCATGGGGGTGGCAATCCCATGGGATGGATCCAAAGCCCTGATGGGCCGGATGCGGCCTGTGGACTGTAGTTTGCCCACCCCGGTTTAAAGACTTCAAGTTACAGAGAATCCACCATTTACACTAGTTCAAACCTGCAAGTGACCTGTGTCCCATGCTGCAGGGGAAGGCGAAACCCCCCAGGTCTCTGCCCATCCAACCGGGAGGAGATTGCTTCCTGACCCCAAATATGACGATCAATTAGACCCTCAGCATGTGGGTGAGACCCACCAGCCAGACCCCTGGGAAAGAATTCTCGGTAGTAACTCACAGCCCTCCCCATCTAATGTCCCATCTCCAGCCATTGGAGATATTTGCTGCTAGCAGTTACAGATCGGCTACATGCCGTGGTAGGCAGTCTCGTCATCCCATCCCCTCCATAAACTTATCAAGCTCAGTCTTGAAGCCTTCAGAGCTGGGCGGCTGGAGAGCGGCGGCTGCTGGCTGGGAGTCCAGCTCAGAAGGCAGAGCCACTGCCAGCAGCAGCGCAGAAGGAAGGATGTCAGTGTATGATATTGCCACCCCTACTGCTGTGCTGCTGCTGGCAGGGCGCTACCTTCAGAGCTGGGTGCCCGGCCACCAGCTGCCGCTCTCCAGACACACAGCTCTGAAGGCAGCGCAGAATTCAGGGTGGCAATACTGTGACCCCCCCTAAAATAAAATTGCGAACCCCCCCCCCACAATTCCCTTATGGGTCAGAACCCTCAATTTGAGAAATGCTGTTTTCCCCATGAAATCTGTATAGTTTAGGGTAAAAGCACACAAAAGATCAGATTACAAAGGGGGGAGACCAGATTTCACGATCCGTGACACATTTTTCATGGCCATGAATTTGGTAGGACCCGAGATATGACCCCTGACTTTTACAGATTAATGACAAATCCTTGCTATTGGGCTTGCAATTTCATGTGCCAGTTTCTTTAATATTCATGGATGGAGATGATCCAGGCCCTCCAGTTTGGTCCCATTAAGCTGTTTGAATCTGGCTTCCATTTCAGCCAATTCAGGGACAATTTCTACTCCCGTGTTCTTGTTCTCATTAGCCATCTTGCCACAAGCTTCTCTTTACGCTTATTGAAAACGGCGGCTCTTGGGCTACGTTCGGGTTAAGTAAAGACCTGGGAAGTTGCTGATGTGCTGACATGGCATTAGGGGACAAAGGCATAAGCCAGCAGTGTTTCTTTGTTTCATAAATAAGTTGCCATATTTTCCCTTCCCTGTTGCTTGTGAGAATTGATCAGGCCTGCAGCTGCAGGAGAAATGTAGCTGTCAAATGAATGCCCTTCGTGTGAGAGAAGGTAAAAGAAATGTTCTCTCCCCTCCCTTCCTTTCCCAGCTACATAAACAAGCCCTGGCTCATGGCCCCTTCCTCCCTCCCCTGAGAACCACTGACTAGGGACATTTGTAGCAACAGATTGTTGCAAAGAACTGTATTTTCAAGGTAAAAATGTCTGTATGACATGCGTAATGCTGTGAATAATAGATAGGGGTGCGTATACTAACAGTATGGGTGTTTCTATTACTCAATAAGGGTTTTTGGGGTGTTGTAACGGATGTAGGCGTTTACATACTAACTTAGATAAAGAGTGTGCTGTAACTAATCCAGTGCTTACTCAACAACTGGGTTGAAGGGAACAAGTATCGCAATAAAGAAGCCTGTACTCATATCTGCCTCTGGGTCAACCTGCTCCTTTTCCTTCTAACAGAGTCCATGCCTATATCTTTAGGTGTTGGCCCATGCAGCCTGTATCTTTTATCTCCACCCCATCCTCAGCGCTTAACCGTCCCACTTCTTCTTTCCTTGTTTTCTTTTTCTTTATAAGGCTAAAGAAATTTTTACTGTTGGTTTTAATTTTTTTTGCAAGCTCAATTCTGCTTGGCTTTTGGCAGTTCTCACTTTATCCCTATACGGATTCCTCCCATTTTCCATTCCTTGTAGGCTTTCTGCTTTCTCTTAATCACCACTTTGAGATCCTTGTTCATCCAGTTTGGTCAGCAACCGCTCCCTACTGGCTTTTTCCTGGACGCAGACTCCAGACAGTTCCTGCATCTTTGACAAGCCCCCTCCATATCCAGATCCTTCAGCTTTGCAGCCCAGGTCACTTCCCTACCTAATTCCCTTAATTTTTTGCAGTTTACCCGTTTGAAATCCAGGGCTCCCAGCTGCCGACCTGTTTTGGTTTATCCTTCCATTTAGTTAAACTGAATTAGCTCATGGTCACTCAAACCAAGGCTGTTCTCTACAGCCAGTTCTTCAGTGAGGTCCTCGCTACTTACCAATGCTAAATCTAAACTGGCATACTTCTTGTTGGTTCGGTGACTATTTGGTGAAGAAATCTGTCGGCTGTCACATCCAGGAATATCTGGGCCCTACCATTATTAGTAGCACTTCTCCCCCAATCTCTGTCTGGAAAACTAAAGTCTCCCATGATCACACAATTCCAAGTGGTAATTATTTCATTCAATCTATTAAAGGGGTCTCTATCCAAACCCAAACCGGACCCTTGGGTCTGTAGCAGATCCCAAGAACTATCCCAGGGGAGCCTCTGGTAGTTTTCTTCCCCACAGTGATTATGACCCAAACAGATTCTGTTTTACCCATTCCATCCCTTCTCATTTCTTTCCACTCCACCTCGTCATGAACATACAATGTTACTCCACAACCTTTGCCCTTTTCCTTTCTTTCCTGTACCCCGGTCATGGCTGTACTGCCCCATGGTTCTGTTCTCCCGATAATAGCTGGTTTCCCATCCCACACCCGTAGTTCTACTTCCTCCATTTTGTCACCCGGCTCCTGGCATTGCTGTTCAGACATCTTACTGATTCCACTTGTCTTTGCTCAGATTTGTCACCCAGGTAGGTACAGTCATTTTACTGCCAGTATCTGCCACCTGACTGTTAGTGTTGGTGCTCTTGGCACTATAGTTCCTCTTGTCATCCATTCTCCCGCCCTCTGTCCTTCCTTTCTCCACTGCTGTGCCCTGTCCTACTTGATTTGCCTCCTGCTCAGTGTGAGAATCAGGCCTGGAGATTCCAAGAGCATCTCCCAGGGTTCCTAGTTTAACGCCCTTTTTATCAGTTGTGCCAACCTCCATCCTGGAAGTCTATCCCGCACCCTGTTCAGGTGGCTTCCATCCCATGAGACAAGTCATCTGTCCGTGAATGCCTCCCAGTGGTTGAACATCCCCAAGGCCTCCTTAGCCCCACTTCCTGAGCCATCTAGTGATCATCAGCATTTTGTCTCCCCTTCACTCTCCTCCTCCCACTGAAGATCACCTGAGCCTCCATTTCTTTAAGGGTCTTCCCCAGCCTGGCGCAGTCTCCCTTGATGTGTTCCAGCAAGAATCTAGGGGCTTTCCCCTCCAGAGAGTTCTGGCTTTGATCCAGCCCCAGGGCAAGGGGGCTGGCTGGCTTGGGAGGGTGGGAATGGGGCACGGGGCTCTGATCTCGGGCACTGGCTGTGTTGGGGGGTGAGAATGGGGCACGGGGCTCTGATCACGGGGCCGTGGGACAGACTCACTTGGGGGGTGGGGTCCAAGGTCTGATCCTGCTCTCTCCCTGCAGCAGGGGCCGGGGGCTCCACCGGAGATGGGGCGCCCGGTGCAGCTGGTGCGTCTGGATGGCAAAGGGGGCCTGACCCTGGACGAGGAGGCCCTGAGCCGCTGCCTGGAGCAGGGTGGGGTGGGGGACGCCCCCGTCTGCCTGGTGTCCATCGTCGGGGAGCAGCGCCTGGGTAAATCCTTCCTGCTGAACTACCTGCTGCGCCGGCTCCAGAGCCCGGTGAGTGGGGAAGGGGGCAGTAGTGAGCTGTGGGTGTGAGCAGCCCCATCCTGCCCCCAGCTGGAGGGCTCAGAGCTGCACATGTGTCTGTGAACATCCCACCCTCAAACATGTCCAGTTAGCTCGGGCCATGGCTGGACCCTAAGGTGTCTGTCTGCCTGTCTGGAACACAGCACGTCACTCTCTCTGTCTAGACAGCAGTAGGTCTGTTTGTCTATCAGATTACGAGTGTAACCCTTCTGCCAGGCCAAGTGATAGCAGCAAGGGCCGGGTTCAGTACATAGGGGTCCCTTCCCAACAGCGTGACACAGAACCAGCTCGAGCCCCCACCCAGTGACCTGGGAAAATCTTACACACACCCCTGGGCGCCTCGAAGAGGCAATACTTCCCCTCTCGCAAGCACAGAGCCTCGGTGTAGCAGAAAAATGTTTAATAACATGAGGTAAACGACATAGCATTAAATTGGGAAAACACCACAACTAGAGTTCATAGACCAAACCATGAGCGAAGACCCACCCCAGCAAATTGGGCCGTGTCCTTTCCCGTTGGTTCTTGAAACCCGCAACCAAAGTCCCAAAAGTCCAACAACCCCAAAGTCTCTCGGGTCCAGCAACCCAAGAATCACCAAAGTCCCAAAAGTCCAACAACCCCCCAAAGTCTCTGTCCCTGGTCAGTGCAGCCCCAGAGTTCAGGGGGGAGGGGCGCAGGGTGTTAAGGGGCACCTTACGTGATCCGAGACCAACCGGCCGCCTCTCCGTGGGGTTCCGCCGCAGCCTTCACCACGAGCCGCTCCACTCCACCTGCTGTCCCGTGAGCCGCTCCTGCCGTCCCACGAACTGCTCTGCTCTGCTCCGCTCACCGACCTGTGAGCCGCCCAGCTCCACTCCGCTCCGACCGTCCCCGCAAGGCTCCGCTCTGCCAGCTGCTCCTCCAGCTGCTCTGCTCCGCTCCGCTCACCGACCTGTGAGCCGCTCAGCTCCGCTCTGCTCTGCTCCAACCGTCCCGCGAGGCTCCACTCGGCTAGCTGCTCCTCCAGCCGTCCCCGCAAACTGCTCCGCCAGCCGCTTAGCAATTCAGGCTCCCCCACTAGTTAACACAGCCTCAGTGATCTCAGCTCTTAGTAACTTTAGCTCTTTAGTGATTTCAGCTCATAGTGATTTCAGCTCATAGTAGGGGAGCCCCAGTGCTGGTGCACTAGTGGCCCAAAGTGAACTCAGCTCAGCAGCCTGTAACTAGACTCCTAAGGGAATCAAAGTTAGCTCTGACATTCAACAGTGGAGAGAGGAGGAGGTGCAATTGGTGTTTCAGGCTCACGCAGGGGCCCCACACCACCAGGTACCAATACCTGCCCCCAACCTCTCTCAATTCACTGGGTTTTGTAACCCATGCCCCTTGACAAGCAAATGCTACTTAGGTAATGGTGACGGATTCACTCAGTCCTTCTGTCATACAACAGTTCCACTGGCCTTGATTCACAGAATCAGGGTAACAAAACTTTATTCTTCCTGCCCCAATAACAGAGAAACTGGGGATCCCACACCAGCCAAAGTAACCACTTTTGGTTGCTGTGGGCTCATGCTAGGCGTGTGGGTGTGCCTATGCAAACGAGATCCGCCCCTGGAGTTCTTTTCCACACTCGCCATAATTCACCACCAGATGTCAGGGTAGAGCTCATCCTGACTCTGCTTACACGAGTACACCCGTCACCATGTATCCTCCCCGCCCCACACTAGTACAATTAACCCCTGTCCCCTCCCAGGTTTGCAGCCTGGGGTAGGAGGGGGGGACCAGTCACTCTCCTCCCCCACCCTGCACTGACCTCCCCCACCCCCGCATGTTCCTTCCCGGCAGGATGCGAGGGACGGGTCATGGATGGGCCAGGAGGACGAGCTCCTGGAGGGGTTCGAGTGGCGCGCCGACATGCAGCCAGTCACCCACGGCGTGTGGGCATGGAGTCAGCCCTTCTGGGTCCCCACCGAGGGCGGGAAGGTGAGTGGTGGCATTGGGGGTGCATAGAGAACAGGGAGGAGGCCATGGGGGGGCTGGGAGAAGAGAAAGGGGAACAGGGTAGAGGGGTGGGAACAGAGGGAATGGGGGAAACAGGGAGGGATGGACAGAGACGTGGGGAAGGAGCCCCAGGGGAACCAGTGGAGAGAGAACAGGGGGAACGGAGAAGAGACAGAAGTAGGGAGCTAACACTGGGGAACTTCTGGGGAAGGTGAGAACGAGATGCCAGGTGCCATGGGGGCTGAGCAGGGGGCAGGCTCCAGGGGCAGAGGGCCTGTGGGTGGCTGGACAAAGCCAGGAGCTGACCTGGGGCTCTCACTCTTGGCCCCCAGGTGGCCGTGCTGCTGGTCGACACCGAGGGCTCCATGGACATTGAAAGGAACAAGGAGACCAGCATCAAACTCTCCGCCATGTCCATGCTGCTCAGCTCCTACCAGGTTGGGGGGTTCCCCGGGGGGCGCTGTGCTGCAGGGAGCGGGGCAGGGGCTCAGCAGGGGGCGCTCTCCCCTGGGGGTCAGGGCTGGCCTCAATACCCAGGGCGACGCTAGGGGGCACTGTGCTTGGGGCAGGTGATGTGGCTGGGAAGTGACCTGGGCCAGGCATCGCTGCTCGCTGCTGTAGCTCTGTCTCTCTCCTGGTTATTTGCAGATACTGAATATTGGCTGTCGGGTGAAGGACCCGGATCTCGAATACCTGGAGGTGAGGCCGGGCAGCGTAACACAGAACGTGGCTGGGCCAGGTTCTCCAGTTAGCCCCACAGGGTTATTATCCCTCCCCATAGGTCCTGTGGGGAAACTGAGGCCCAGAGAGAAAAACTGACTCTCCAACGGTCATGTGGGTTCTCTGGAGTCAGCACTGTCACCGCACGGCCCAGCCTGGCTCTACACTCCCACATGTCTGGTGTTGGCCACTGGGCCAGAGTTCGGCCCCCTCCCTCCCCTCCAGCCCAGCTCCGCCGTCGGTGGGAAACTGCTGGGGCCAGGGCTTGGGGTGGTCGCTCTGCCCCCTGCTCTGCTCCTCTCTCCAGGCTCTTACCCAGCCCCAGCCCCGCTGGGTCAAGCCCCTGGCAGTCACACCCTTAGTGACGTCACTGCCGCCTGCGGCATACGGCGTGTCCGGACCCTGTACCGCACCCCGGGGGGATTCTCTGTGCCGGGCACAGGTCGGCTTGGGAGGGTTTTATCTGCTCTCGCTGCCCTGGGTTCTGTCATTGGCAAAAACCTGGTTCACACAGAGATAGGGAGGCCCAGGCAGAGCTCAGGGAAATGCCGCATCACCAGACTGTTCAAGGCGTGAGCAGAGCCTTGACCCCTGGGGCTGTGCAAAGAAAGTTGGTAGCGTCCATCAGCCTGAGGCAATGGGGTGTTTGTGGAGTGGGACCCCTCAGTACAAGGACCCCAAATTTCAATCACTGACCCCCCCCCCCCCCCCCCTCCCCCTCCACACCTCTATGGAGTGCCCTGGAGAGAAGGAGAAAGCCCTGAAACTGTACAGAGGAGGGGTGCGCACTGACAGTCATCCCCCCCCACCAGACCCCTGTGTCCCACGGCCTCCCTCCCCCTCCCATGCCCAGGTGCAGCCTCTTTCTCTCAGCCCCGCTGAAATCCTCTCTGTCCATCGCACAATTCGTTTCACGCTCGCTGGGCCTCGCTCTGTGCCCTGGGCAGAGGGAGAAGCTCAGATGTGGGGGTGGGGGGTGATCAGGCCCCTTTCTGTTCACAGGCAGGATCACCTCCCCCCAGACTGAACACCTCTCAGGTCCCAGACTCACCCCGTCCCTCTTCTCTCTCCGCAGATGTTTGTGCAGGTGGCCGAAGTGGTGGGGGGGGCCTACGGACTGGAGCCCATTCAGGTGAGACGGCTTCCCCTCCAATCACCTGCCCTGCCCCATGTATCCCCTCGTTGCACCCCTCCCCCACTCCACAGAATGCTCCTGCCCCATGCACCAACTGCCCCACTCCCGAGGGGTCGAGGTTTCCCCAGCAGACACCGTCCTTCTCCCCGTCCCAGCCTCCTCTACCCTCAGTGACCCCCAGTCCCCGCCTGTCTCCCCTGCAGCACCTAGACCTGCTGGTGCGAGATTCGAACATCCCCGGGGTCCTCGGAGCTCAGGGTGGGGAGCAGTATCTGAAACACGTCAGACAGGTGATTGTGGGGCTTGGGGGGTGGGGGTGGGGAATGGGACCTAGGGTCTGTCCCCTCTGGGGGCACCAGCTGCAATCCAGACCCAGTGTTGGGGACTGGCTGGCTCAGGGGATGGGGAATGGGACACGGGGCCTTTCCCCTCCAGGGGGCTGGTAGCCCCACCCTTTATAAAGGTTGCCTGACAAATCCCATTACAAGACCCCTTTAAAGTTGCTTATAACTTTGCCAAACTTTAAATGTTTGGGCTGAAATTTTCCATGTTTGTTCTCTGCCTCCAGCTGGATTTGTGCTTCCTCCAGCTGTTTCTGAGAATGAGGCTAAAGAAAAACACATTGTTTAGCAATATTGAAAGAAAATTCTGATGTTCCTTTTTTTTAACATCTCTAGTCCCCCGTCCCCCGTCCCCCCCCCCGGCCCTCCCTACTTTGGAGTAAGGACTCTACATTTGGCGGGGGGTGGGGTGGCCAGTGTGTCAGAGAGACGCCAGAGTCTGTCCACACTGACCGTGCTCCAGCCCCTCACAGCTCCACATGCTGCCCAGACTGAGCATGCGCCGTCCCCACAGAGCGACCCAGTATGCTCCAGCCGGGGGCTGCAGTAGCTAAGCTGGACTTTCCCCGCAATTGCTGCTCCAGGCCGGGCACCAGAACTGAGAGGGGATGTCCTGTCTCTCCCATGCTCTCAATGAGCCCAGGTGGGGTGGAGAAGGAAGCTGCTTGATTGCAGTGTGGAGGGGAGAAAAGCCAGACCGGGGTAGGGAGAGGAGCAGGCTGGGACAAGACATCTGGATAGACTGGGAACAGGGTGGGGGAGGAGGCTGAGACCTGGGACTCACTCCTGTCTCTTCCTGCCATCCTCTGCCTCGTTCACTGCACCCTTTCCAATGCCTACCACAAACGAGGCTGGGCCCCTCCAGACCCTCTCTGACTGCCTGGCAGGTCGGGCTGATGTTAACAGGTGTTTGTGTGTCAATGTAACGATCCCCCCGGCTCTGGCAGATGCTGGAGGAGACGTCCCCTTGCAAACACCCCAAGACCCTGGAAGCACTGAGCAGAAGCAGCAGCCGCTGTTACCTGATGCCGTTCCCTGGCGAGCGGATCGTGAGTGGAAGCGAGGGAAGGCTGAGAGGTAACGGACCCAGGACTGACTCTGAGCCCCCTGCCATGTGCAGAGCAATGTGACTGGGGCGCTGATCACGCCTACACGTGGAAGGTAGAGAGAAGGGGGATCAGACAGGCCCTATAATCCCCCACCATTGTCCATCTCTCGCCCCTTTGCAGACATGGGTGAGAATTTCCAGGGGAGCCTGAGGGACTACATCACCACCCTGGTGAGCTCGGCCGGTCAACACGCCCGGACGGACCGGCATGGGAAGCGGCTCACCGGGACACAGCTCGCTGCCAAGATAAAGGTGGGGACCGGCCAGCTGTGCTGCAGGGAGCAGGAAGGGGATGCTCTCTCCTTACAGTCAGTGATGACCCCAATACCCCCAAATCCCCAGCTGCCCACCCCAGAGGTGGCTGCATCTCAGCGCCAGGCGAGCCCTCCCCATGTTCACAGCCTTTCTAAGCCCTGTGGAGTCTGTGACGTGATGATTTCTTTTGGTTCCTTTGCAGAATTTATCTGATGTGATGAAGAAACATCGCTCCGGCTTCTCCTCTCCCTGTCAGGTACCGTCTCTGCCTCTGACCTGATCGTGGGGTGTCTCCCCGCACCCGTCCATACCAGGGCTGGTGAGGTGCTAGGAACTCAGGCCATGCTACTGGAAGTGACTGGGAAAGGGTCTCAGGTTCTTGGACTCCAAGGTAGAAGAATTTGACTAGACTAGAGGGTGGCTGATGCTGGAGGGTTTGCGCAGTCTATGGATGCGTCTCCAGTTCATTGGGCCCAAAACATCAACATGCCTGGGTGTGATCCTGCCCTCTTCCCTTTTTCTGTTCCTGGTGCCCCCTGTTGGCGGTTGCCATTGTCAGGGGTGCCTCAGCCCTCTGGCTAAGTCACACACAGTCTAAAGACACACGATGGAACCCCTTCCCGGGTAACACAGTCCAACAAACGGTTGGCCTCTCTGGGGTCTGGAGCCTCATCTCTGGGCCTGTTTAAACTCTAGCTCCTTTCTCAGGCTCCAAAACTAAACGTGCCCCTTCTTAGGGCTTTGGCCACTGCGCCAGTGGGGACCTGGGCTCGCTCAGTACTCTGGGTCCCAACCCAGGGACCCTGCAAGTAGAGGCCACTTGCTGCTTTCTTTCCTAGTTGCTACTGCAGCATTTCCTGGGCTGCTTCCCACTCTGTCCCACCACCTTCTTGGGTTCTCTGTCTGGTCCCTGTCTGAGCAGGGTCTCCTCCAGGCCTCCTTGCCTGAGAGTTTCTCTGTCTCTGTCCTGATTTCTCAGGGTCTTCTCAGGACCTCCAGCAGGGGGCCCTAAAGGGCCTGGTACACCCCATCACCATTGAGCATCCTGGTTGGATGACACCTCCCATGAGCCTGGCCTCAGAGGACAATAGGGAAACTAGACTTCATCTCCATGATGCACCAGCATCTCCTTCTTTGGTGAGGGGAAGCCAGACATCATGGACCCGGTGAACCATGGAGTTTCTAGTCCGATCAGGGAGCTGGACACATAGAGGAGAATGAGGCACCCAAACTACATTTCCCACAATGCACCACAGAATCCTTTTTTGGTGAGGGGAAGCCAGGCATCACGGCTGAAGTGCATCATGGGAGGCACATGTGGTGAGATGGGGGAAGGTGGCTTTAAAGCCGCTATTGTGATCCTGAATTCAGTGACCCAGGGTCCCAGGGCCACCCAGGGATCGAGGGTCCGAGCCTGAGTCAAGCTGGGAGCCAGGGTTCAAGCCCTGTTCTTTGCAGCATAGCCCTAGCCCTCCTGGACTTGTGATGTGGGAGGCCACCCAAAGTATCCCACAATCCCACAGGGCCAACTTTCTTTCTCCTGTGGCCAGTCAGGTTGGTTGGAGAGTCCAGTTTTCCCAGGCTGCACCACCACCAAAGGGGAAAAGGACAACCACAGCTGGGGCAGGCGCTAGGAAGTCTGGGATACAGGTGGTTGCACTTAGGCTTGCACAATGCAGTATAGATGCTGGAGCTCCGAGCTGGAACCCAGGGTTCAACGAGTCCTAACCTAGGGTTACAAATGAGTGTAGACGCTCCAGTCCTAGGTTAGCAACCCCAGGGGCTACTAACTCGATTCCTACTCACTCTGGGCTTACATCTCACTGTAGACAGAACCATAGCCATGGACTGTAAAGTTCTCTTGGGTGTCAGCCTCAGATCCGCTGGGAGAGGTGCTACCCAGGCCTCAGGAGCGCCGCCAGCTTTTTTGCCGCCCTAGGCGGCGGAAGGTCCCGCCCCCGAAATGGCGACGACGACCGGGGCAGCCGAAGAACCGGCCGCCGCAGTTGCCGCCCCCCAAATGTTAGCACCCTAGGCGACCGCCTAGGTCACCTAATGGGTTGTGCCGGCCCTGCCAGGCCCTCTTCTAGAGGAGAATGGGGGGACTCAGTTTATGTACATGGGAGGAATAGACCGGCCTAACTATTCCAGAATAACTATACCCCAATAGCCACTCCAGAATAGCACCACAGCAGAGACTGTACCAGAGTCATTGTGTTACCCGGTCAATTTAGGGCCCCCGGCCTATACCCTACCTAGGACTCAAGGTGTGACCCAGTCAATTTAAGGCACCCTCACCCTTTCCCGACTGAGGGCTCGGGGTGTAAGACACATAAGTGCATAAGAACGGCCAGACTGGGTCAGACCAAAGATCCATCTAGCCCAGTATCCTGTCTACCGACAGTTGCCAGTGCCAGATGCCCGAGAGGGAATGAACAGAACAGCGAGGTGATCCATCCCCTGTCGCCCATTCCCAGCTTCTGGCAAACCTATCCGTACCCACAGAACTCAGGAATAAACCTGGTCAATTTAAGTACCCGCCCTTCCCCTTGCGGCTCAGGGATGTATGGGTCTGCAGAACCTTTTCCCAGCAAAAGAGCCTTACACAGTTGTGCTCTAAACATCTATTTATTAGCAACACAGAGAGAGTAAATATACCAAGCAAATCCCTTATGCTCACTACTCCCAACATACAGACAAATTTCACCCAATGGCCAGTTAGGATCCACTCATCTGGGGGTTCCTGGTGCCCACACATGTCATGATCATGCAGGGGGTCGGATGTTTTGCAGTTTGATGTTCCCCTGCAGTCCGGAGTTGATTCCCAAAGAGCATTGTTTTTCATTTACATTATATAGGTAAAATTAGCTCCCTCCTTCAAATGTATTAAACCTATCACATTATCCCACACCCCTAAATAACAGAAATTGTAACCAATTACGCACTGGCACCTATGTGTCCTTCTTCCTGCCCAAGTTTTTTACATTTTCTCTTTCATCCCCAAATGGTAACTTGGTTGTGACCTTCTCTGTTTATGCAGAGGGGCAGCATAAAACACCGGTCAGAGCTTATCTTCCCATTTGCTGAGTCTCTTTCTGCATCCTCCCTAATTTCCCAGTGCCTGCTCATCTCTACTTCACCACTTTGGTGGTTATAACTCTCGTTAGGGACATCCCTGAGGTGGTTTAATATGGGGGGTTGATCAGGTCTCAGGCCAACAATTGCTCCTCCACAACAAGAGTTAACCCAGCCCAGAGCAATGCCCCCCCCCCCAAAAAAGAGCTGAGATTCCCATCCAAACCACCTGCCTCCTGCGGATCGATAAAAGCCCCCAAATACCACCAGACCCGTGAGAGCCAGTGTCACTGATGCGCTGTCGGGGGTCAGCCTCAGGCCGAGCCCGGCTGGGACAGGGGTTTGCAGAGTCCTTGGCTGCAGGAACGTGCTGCAAGTGCAAAGTGCAGGTCAGGGTGGGGAAGGGAGCCGAGACTGGGTTGCCGTGAGGAACAAACTGGAGACCGGCGGCACCGGAAGCCCCAAGCAGCTGCCACCCCAGCTAGTGGCATTGCTCTGTTACGTGAGGCTACTGCGGTGGAAGCTGCAGCCACTAGGTGGAAACAGGGCCCCATAAACTGCAGCTCACCCCAGCCTTGTCCTCCCTGCACAGATGGTCATCACCTTCCACAACCAGAATGTCCTGGACAGAGCCCGCGCAGACCACGCTCTCTTTCTGAAGGAGAAGGTGAGTCCAAGGGGGCAGCTGTGTCCCTAGCCAGGGGAACCCCAGGGAAACTTCCTGGCCAGTCCTGCAGGCTATGGGATTTGTGGCAAGAGATAGGAGTTCATACCTCTAGCTCCCAGGGTGGCTGCACAGATGGGAAAGTCCAAACCTGGCACAAGAGGAGGCCCAGTCTTGAACCTGAGGACTGTGCAGCAACTCGCATGACGGGGGCCCGGCGCGATGGGAGCTCTGATCTCAGTTGAGGGTTGTCTGTATGACCAGGGCTCTGATCTCAGTTGGTGAGGGGGTCTGTGCAATGCCCCATGTGAAGTGGGCCCCAATCTTAGGGTGGAGTTGTGCTGTCTTGCCCCTTTTAATGCTCTTGGCCGTCTCCTCTCCCGGCGGGCGCAGGATGGCGACTCCCGGGACATGACCGCCTGCCTGAAGGTGCGGCCGAGCAAGATGGCGAAGTTGTTTGCGGAGCGGCGCGGGCAGTTGCTGTGCCGGTGCCGGACCGACATGCGGGAGCCGGCGCCGGACACAGAGGCCCAGCTGACAGAGCTGGAGGAGGAGCTGACACGGGAGGCTGAGACCTTCCTGGAGATCTACGGGAAGCGCTTTAAGACATTCGCCATTTTGGCAGGCGTGGGTGTGGGGGTGGGGATCCTGGGATTGGCGGGCGGAGCTGTCGGTGCCGGGATCGCTGCTGGGATTGCTGCCGGTGCTGTCACTGCCGAGGTGGCTGGGGCGCTCACCATGGCCGAGGTGGTGGCCATTGGGGCTGGGACGGGCGCCGCGGCCGGTATCATCGTGGGTGGGGGCGTGGGCGGGGGAGTGGGTGGGAACATCGCCCGGAAGGATAGGCAGAGGGCTGAGGCTGCTGGCGGCGGGAGGGAGGAGGGGGACGGAACTGAGGATCTATCCGACGACAAACCCCTGATCTGATCGGTGTCCCCCCCCTCCCCCCAATCTGGGGCTGACGAATGGGGTGACGGGGCTGCAGCATAGCCCAGATACGTCCCCAAGAAGCCACCCCAGAGCGGGGA